AAACAACAATAACAGACTCTCAGTAGTAACAGCCAAACAACAATAACAGACTCTCAGTAGTAACAGCCAAACAACAATAACAGACCTGCAGTAGTAACAGATACGCAACAATAACAGACCCTCAGTAGCAACAGACAATCAACTATAACAGACCTGCAGTAGTAACAGATACGCAACAATAACAGACCCTCAGTAGTAACAGCCAAACAACAATAACAGACTCTCAATAGTAACAGCCAAACAACAATAACAGACCCTCAGTAGCAACAGACAATCAACTATAACAGACCTGCAGAAGTAACAGTTAAACAACAATAACAGACCCTCAGTAGTAACAGCCAAACAACAATAACAGACTCTCAATAGTAACAGCCAAACAACAATAACAGACCCTCAATAGTAAGAGACAAGCAACTATAACAGACCTGCAGAAGTAACAGATAAACAACAATAACAGACCCTCAGTAGTAACAGATAAACAACAATAACAGACCCTCAGTAGTAACAGATAAACAACAATAACAGACCCTCAATAGTAAGAGACAAGCAACTATAACAGACCCTCAGTAGTAACAGATAAACAACAATAACAGACCCTCAATAGTAACAGACAAGCAACTATAACAGACCTGCATTAGTAACAGACAGGAAACAATAACAGACCTGCAATAGTAACAGACACGCAACAATAACAGACCCTCAGTAGTAACAGACAAACAACAATAACAGACCCTCAGTAGTAACAGACAAACAACAATAACAGACCCTCAGTAGTAACAGACAAGCAACGATAACAGACCTGCAGTAGTAACAGACAAGCAACTATAACAGACCCTCACTAGTAACAGACAAGCAACGATAACAGACCCTCAGTAGTAACAGGCAAACAACAATAACAGACCCTCAGTAGTAACAGAAACGCAACAATAACAGACCCTCAGTATTAAAAGAAACGCAACAATAACAGATCCTCAGTAGTAACAGACAAACAACAATAACAGACCCTCAGTAGTATCAGACACGCAACAATAATAGACACACAGTAGTAACTGACAAACAACAATAACAGACCATCAGTAGTAACAGACAAGCAACTAAACAGACCTGCAGTAGTAACAGACAAACAACAATAACAGACTCTCAGTAGTAACAGACAAACAACAATAACAGACCCTCAGTAGTAACAGACAAACAACAATAACAGACCCTCAGTAGTAACAGACAAGCAACAATAACAGACCCTCAGTAGTAACAGACAAACAACAATAAAAGACGCTCAGTAGTAACAGACACGCAACAATAACAGACCTGTAGTAGTAACAGACACGCAACAATAACAGACCCTCAGCAGTAACAGACACGCAACAATAACAGACCCTCAGTAGTAACAGACAAACAACAATACCAGACCCTCAGTAGTAACAGCCAAACAACAATAACAGACCCTCAGTAGTAACAGACAAGCAACGATAACAGACCTGCAGTAGTAACAGACAAGCAACTATAACAGACCCTCAGTAGTAACAGACAAGCAACGATAACAGACCCTCAGTAGTAACAGGCAAACAACAATAACAGACCCTCAGTAGTAACAGAAACGCAACAATAACAGACCCTCAGTAGTAAAAAGAAACGCAACAATAACAGACCTCAGTAGTAACAGACAAAACAACAATAACAGGACCTCAGTAGTATTGTACACGCAACAATAACAGACCCTCAGTAGTAACAGACAAACAACAATAACAGACCCTCAGTAGTAACAGACAAACAACAATAACAGACCCTCAGTAGTAATAGACAAACAACAATAACAGACGCTCAGTAGTAACAGACAAACAACAATAACAGACCCTCAGTAGTAACAGACAAACAACAATAACAGACCCTCAGTAGTAACAGACAAGCAACAATAACAGACCCACAGTAGTAACAGACAAACAACAATAACAGAACCTCAGTAGTAACAGACACACAACAATAACAGACCCTCAGTAGTAACAGACAAACAACAATAACAGACCCTCAGTAGTAACAGACACGCAACAATAACAGACCCTCAGTAGTAACAGACACGCAACAATAATAACAGACCTCAGTAGTAACAGACAATGCAACAATAACAGACCTGCAGTAGTAACAGACACGCAACAATAACAGACCCTCAGTAGTAACAGACAAACAAAATAACAGACCCTCAGTAGTACAGACAAACAACAATTACAGACCCTCATTAGTAACAGAGACACGCAAATAACAAACAGACCCTCAGTAGTAACAGACAAACAACACAATAGACCTGCAGTAGTAACAGACAACAACAATAATAGACCCTCAGTAGTAAATAGACAAACAACAATAACAGACCCTCAGTAGTAACAGACAAACAACAATAACAGACCTCAGTAGTAACAGACAAACAACAATACCAGACCTGCAGTAGTAACAGACAACAACAATAACAGACCCTCAGTAGTGCAACAGAAAACAACTATAACAGACCATTAAAATACAGACAACAATAATAACAGACCAGTAGTAACAGACAAACAACAACAGACCTCAGTAGTAACAGGACAAACAACACAATAGACCCACAGTAGTAAATAGACAAAACAATAACAGACCTCAGTAGTAACAGAAAAGCAACAATAACAGACCTCAGTAGTACCAGTTAAAACAACAATAACAGACAATCAGTAGTAACAGACAAACAACAATAACAGACCCACAGTAGTAACAGACAACAACAATAACAGACCCTCAATAGTAACAGACAAACAACAATAACAGACCTGCAGTAGTAACAGACAAACAACAATAACAGACCCTCAGTAGTAACAGACAAACAACAATAACAGACCCTCAGTAGCAACAGACAATCAACAATAATAGACCCTCAGTAGTAACAGACACGCAACAATAACAGACCTGCAGAAGGAACAGACACGCAACAATAAGAGACCTGCAGTAGTAACAGACAAACAACAATAACAGACCCTCAGCAGTAACAGCCAAACAACAATAACAGACCCTCAGTAGCAACAGACAATCAACTATAACAGACCTGCAGAAGTAACAGATAAACAACAATAACAGACCCTCAGTAGCAACAGACACTCAACTATAACAGACCTGCAGTAGTAACAGACAGGAAACAATAACAGACCTGCAATATTAACAGACACGCAACAATAACAGACCCTCAGTAGTAACAGATACGCAACAATAACAGACCCTCAGTAGTAACAGACACGCAACAATAACAGACCCTCAGTAGTAACAGATACGCAACAATAACAGACCCTCAGTAGTAAGAGACACGCAACAATAACAGACAATGCAGTAGTAACAGACATGGCTGTACATTAAGTGTATTTTTTCATTATGTATTAACAATGCAACGCAAAAAGTCGAAAAAACGAGATAGATAATGATCATACAATTGGAGGGGAAGACTAGCTGAGTGTTACTCTGACGATATAAGTGTTTACTGAATAAATATAACACCACTTTCTAATTACAGGAAGGTGGGACATGGTAAAGACCCGGAACTACGGTGTTTGTGAATGTTTGATCTTTGTTGTGTTATTTTTTGGTGAATGTTTGAATTTTGTTTTGATGTGTGAAAAATGGATTTTTTTGTTGGTGTCGTCCGAATGTTTGCTTTTTATTGTGTTGATGTTCTGTGAATGTTTGATGTTACGTGATTGTTAGATTATTTTGTTGATGTTGTTAAAATATTTGATCGTTCTTGTGTTGGTGTGTGAATATATATATATATATATATATATGTATATATATATATATATATATATATGTATATGTATATATGTATATATATATATATACATATATATATATATATGTATATATATATATATATATATATATATATATATATATAATATATATATATATATATATATATATATATATATTTATATATATATATATATATATATATATATATATATATGTATATATATATATATATATATATATATATATAATATATATATATATATATATATATATATATATATATATATATATATATATATATATATATATATATATATATATATATATATATATATATATATATATATATATATATATAGGAAAGAAAGTTCCCAAGCGCTTTCGTGTAATTCACATCTTCAGGGGTGAGTACAGACTAGAGAGAGAAATACAAATCAAGGTGTATATATACAGAGGAGGGTAAGACCAGGTCCACAATGGTCAGGTATTAGGTAATGACCCTACTAATCTTTAAATAGCACACAACGGTTGGTGGTCAGGTCAGATGGTCAGGTGACCAGGCCTTCTCACCTGGTCACAAATCTTCTTATTACAAAATTGTCCAGCTTGTACATGCCGTTACTCAAATTCATTCATGTTGAATGCTTCGGTATGTTTAATAAGACTAGATTCTATGATGTTCCGACTATCAATTGAATTACATGGTAATAATGAGGAGGCATTATCCCAGTCAATGCAATGCTTGTTATCCTTCCTTGTGGTTATCAGCATATACCTAGATCACGCGCACCTACAGTGATTTACTTGCATTTACTGTAGTGATTTACTGTATGTATATATATATATATATATATATATATATATATATATATATATATATATATATATATATATATATATATATATATATATATATATATATATATAAATATATATCAAATAAACTAAAAACACATAATAAATAATTAAAATAAATATATATTAAAGTGATAACCGTGGTAACACTATGAGATGTAGGCTACTTATTACCACCATGCTATTGTACTACTCCAGGTGATACTAAATGTTACATAATACTTCCTTGAGATAAATATATAGTATATATCAGGTGCCTCAAAGAGAGCTCAGGTTCTCAACTGGCTCAGCCATGTTAATATTGTTATTAATATCCACTCTGTATCTGTATTTTTCTGGCTAAATAAACTGTTTCAATTCAATTCAATTCTAACACTCACATGAAGAACTTGTCAGGGAAGAGCGGGAGGCTGGTGGTCAGGGTGAGGCCTCGGTGGGGCGTCCAGATGGCAACCTTCAGTGGCTCTGCCTCATGGGTTGTGAAAGGTAAGTGAATGTAAACAGTAGACCTGTAGTTGAAATGGCTTTTAGATAAGCAATGAAATATACAATGCTATGTTTATTTGCTCCAACTCTTTGATTATTGGCAATATTTGGTAAATATCCACATTATTCCCGTAAATGTTTCAGTGTAAACAAACAGAATACTGGCACTGATAATAACTGGCGAGAAGTTGAAGATTCATCCATGATGAGCAACATGGCGTTATTAAGGGAGAGTAACTTATGGAGACCTTGCAGCTCTAGGAGAAAAGGGCGGGTGACAATGAGAAGCCTCGACGACCACACCAGGAGGCGGCCCTTAACAGATAACTCAGCGAAGGTGACGAGGAAGGCTGGGTCGTCGCTCACCACCACCACCGTCACGCACCATGACACCTGCCGCAGCTGTTGACGTTAACATGGTTAAAGTTATGATAAAGTGACCTACCCGCCTCAGTAGTAAGGTGAGAGTGACCTCCCTGCCTCAGTAGTAATGTGAGAATGACCTACCCGCCGAGCCTCGTCGACCACCCAGGAGAGTTGCGCCTGTGTCACGTTAGCGTTCTGGCCGTCCACTACCACCTCGAACGCTCCCACACCCCAAGGGGCGTGGTAATGATGTATGCCCTATTAAGAAAAAAAAACTTTTTTGATGTGCGAGTTAATATTTGTGGACGGATAACCAACAGCTTTCATATGAAGAAAGTAACTGTAATTTTAGACCTCTAGTCTTCCTAGGTATAGATCAACTCTAAAATATCTGACTCAAAAGATGTTTTTGTAAATAATATACACTAAAATGGGTTAAATTTAAAACGTTGAAAGATAGTGAAATAGATGCACCAGGTTAAATAACGCACCTTATAAAGAGCGATGGGCCAGGTACTGCCGTCCGTGATGAATACAAGGAAGCAGTAAGGATCAGTGACTGAGGCCAACACATCCTCCACCGCAGCTATTAAAGGTCTGTCTGATATTGACAATGTGATGTTCGTTAGAATATATATTCATTCGTTTTGTAACAAGCGTTATCTGCATACGTATAATAGAGCTTCTCATAGATGATTAAAATTTATTGATATGTTTCGTTTTACCAAAATGTCGGTTATTGAATCATGCGTAAATTCTCTCTTTTTAAAGTTAATTATTGACATCGAATATACATATATCATGGAAAGACAGACATTACCTGTAAACTTACCCTGAAGGCGAGGCAGCCTTGGCACACCGGAGGACGCTAATACTATGAAGAGTCCTAGTAGAGACGTCACATACATCATTGTCTGACAGGGCAGGGCAGGGGTTAATGGTAATGCAGTGGAAGGGCCGCTCAGAATACCGAATCTGCACAAACAAAATTGATATATTATTTACCGTGACCTGGACTGGTGTTTCTGAGATTGAGGTTAAAGAGACGCGCTGGTAATAATATGATACTTATATCAAACAACAGCACCAACCGTACAGCACTAAAAAAATATATTAATTGCACAAGACAATAATTCACTTGGATTGATTTCTCATCACATATTATATCGTTAGACACCACTATTATCAACATCGGAAAATATGGAAATGGTCCCAATGCGAGCTCACAACGACCCAATAATTACCAAAGACCCGTGCACGTCCCTCTATACACCACGCTTCACAACAAAATGAGTAATATGACCTCACCAACTCAGGAGATGCTGAGGTCAAAGGTCACACTTCCCTTAGTTTAAGCCTATAGATCCATATCTCAGCAGCCCCTCAGCACGCATATTCATAAAAGAGCATAGTGGTCTGAAAACTCCACTGTAGTACATGTGTATCTTTTGTTATAAGAACATAAGAAAATAAGGAGTCTGCAATAGGCCGGTTGGCCTGTGCATGGCAGCTCCTGTCGAGAGTTACTACTACTCTCTATCATCCATGAATCTATCTAGCCTCCTTTTAAAACTTTCCAGCGTTCCAGCACTTACTACAAAGTTGCTAAGCTTGTTCCACTCGTCCACCACCCTATTTGTGAACCTGTTCCTTCCTATCTCCCTCCTAAACCTAAACTTATCCAACTTAAATCCGTTGCTACGATGTCATGGTCACGTTGACTGCTGATCTATATAACTAATGATTTTTATTAAACTCCACGCCCGCAAAACATGAGTGAGTTAGCGACCCCTAGAAGGAGCGTGTTTACCCTCGCGATCCCTCCCAGTAAGTCCCGCCTTCGGACACAGTTGTCAATACGTTGTTTATTCCACTTTCTCCTGGGAAGCTCAATCTTGAATTAGTCTGTGTAAATCAACCCAAGTAATTCGCCAGACCTTTGTCAACTGAGGGTCATCTATGAATGAGTAACAGTTAGTTTGTTTGTAATTATTGTCATTGCCTGAGTAACGATCACTGGCAACTCAGGGGTATATAAACTCAAGATGGCCTGGTAGAGCGTCCCTTGACACTGCTTCCCGTTTGTCTCCAGGTATGTTCTGTGTTCCCTAGCCATTCAGTTAATTCAGTCAATTGTGGTGAATATCAGTGTTCACCAGTGTTCATGATTTAACAGTATCTAAATCCTCCTGTAGTGCATTTGCATCCTGCCCTGAATTATTCTGCCGACCTATTTTGGTGTCATCCGCAAACTTGCTTATGTCACTGCTGATCCCAGTAACTAGATCGTTTATATAGATTATGAACAAGAGTGGGCCCAGTACTGACCCCTGGGGAACCCCACTCAGATTTAACACCATCTACGCTGACCCTCTGTGTTCTATCGGTGAGCCATGATTTTATCCAATTTAAAACTTTCCCCTCGATACCATGAGCCTTAACTTTTCTCAGAAGCCTCTGATGTGGTACTCTGTCAAACGCTTTGCGAAAGTCTAAGTAAATAACATCGTATATAGAACAAAAGTCAAGGACAAAGTTGGGACATTAAAGTCAGGGAGGGGAGAAGTGATAAATGGCAGTGAAGAAAAAACCAAAGCATTGAACAACTACTTCTTATCAGTTTTCACAGAAGAAATTCGAGAGGAAATTCCAGAGGTGGAACTGATATTTTGGGAAAACGAAGAAGGTAAGAATATCTTTATCGAAAAGGGGGAATGCTTGAAATTGTAGAACGGTACTTGATTGCCGCGTATTTACAAATCGTGACACCGGAGATTTAGCGAACTTTTGGCGAAACAGGCAATGCTTAGTACCCGCCAGTAAAAACACAGCATCGGCGTCAAATTACCGGCGATCAGTTTGGCGTGGTGGTAAAGTGGCGATCAATTTTATGAATAGCATCCGATCGCATCTAGAAAAAAGCAAATTAATCTACGACTCTCAACATGGGTTTACAAAGGAAAAATCTTGTCTAACAAATCTGCTAACGTTTTTTAGGAAAGTCTTCGAGGTAGTAGATAATGACGAAAATTACGATGTTATTTACTTAGACTTTAGCAAAGCATTTGACAGAGTACCGCATCAGAGGCTTCCGAGAAAAATTAAGGCTCATGGTATCTTTTAAATTGAATAAAATGGCTCGGATAGAACGCAGGGTCATGAAGATGAATTATTTAAATATGAGTAGGCTATTGGCAGATGGGAGTTTCTGGTCAATAGGGCCCACTCTTGTTCAATCTACATAAACTTGAAATAGGATCAGCAATGACATAACAAGTTGCGGATGACACCAAAGCAAGACGGCAGGTAATTAGAGGATACAGGAGGATCTAAATAAACTGCCAGGGGTGGTCTGAAAAATGGCAAATGAGTGCTTCAACTGCAGCGTATAATATTGAAGAGGTAAATACTGACAATATAAAATATAACTTTAACATCAACATAGAAGTCGACTTGTGAAAGACGGCAGGGGTATAGCCGGACCTACAACCCTGAAAATATTAGGTTATATTAAATAAGGCAAACTAGTATTAGGTTATATCTAGAAGTGTAAATGGCAGAAGTGCAGAAGATGTATTGCAACTATATCTTGCGCTAGTCAGGCCGCACCTCGATTATGCAGTTCAGTTCTGGTGCCCCTATTATAGAATGGATATAAATTCACTAGAGTCGGTGCAGCGAAGAATGACAAAAATGATTCCGGGACTTAGAAACCTTCCATATCAGGATAGGTCAAAGAAACTTAACTTGCATTCCCTAGAAAGACGAAGAGTGCGGGGAGATATGATAGAAGTATTTAAGTGGGTGAAAGGAATCAATAAAGAGGATATAGATAAAGTTCTTATAACCTTGAGAATGGGACTCAGGCTTAGCAATTTAAATTGGATAAGGATTTAGGTAGGAGAAATAGAAGGAACTAGTTCACAAATAGGGTGGTGGACGAGTGAAACAAGCTTAGCAACTTTGTAGTAAGTGCTGGAACACTGGAAAGTTTTAAAAGGAGGCTAGATAGATTCATGGATGATAGAGAGTGGTAGTAACTCTCGACAGGAGCTGCCATGCACAGTCTAACCGGCCTATTGCAGACTCCTTATTTTCTTATGTTCTTATGTAATTATCGTTATTATCTACTACCTCGAAGACTTTCCTCAAAAACGTCAGCAGATTTGTTAGACAAGATTTTCCCTTTGTAAACCCATGTTGAGAGTCGTAGATTAATTTGCTTTTCTATAAATGCGATCGAATACTTTTTGCTATAATTGATTCAAGAAATTTCCCCACTACTGACGTAAAACTAATCGGCCGGTAATTTGACGCTGATGCTCTGTCTCCCTCTTTGAATATGGGTACTACATTTGCCTGTTTCCACAAGTCTGGCACAACTCCCGTGTCTAATGATTTTGTAAATCAATTTACGAGGGGTACGCTAATCTGTTCCTTACACTCTTTCATAACTCGAGGAAAAATTTCATCTGGCCCTGGGGAATTTGTCTTCTTTAATTTATTTATCTTCTTAAGAACATCCTCTTTTGTGATAGTGATATTCTTTAATTTCTCTTCTTCATTTCCCAAAATATCAGTTCCATTTCTGGAATTTCTTCGTGAATTTCTTCTGTGAAAACTGATGAAAAGCAGCTGTTCAATGCTTGCTTATTTCCACACTGTCATCGATCACTTCCCCTCTCCCTGACTTTAAGGGCCCAATTTTGTCCTTGACCTTTGTCCTATATACCTGGAAAAATCAACAACAATTAATTTGCTTTCCTTGTAATGGACTTAAACTGGGTTTTCCTTCTTTGCTTCCAATTTAGGGCAATTCGCAATCACATGACCTGGTTTCATACAGCAAAAACAAACAAATGCTTTAGTCTTGGCATAGGTCTTGGAAAGCTCACCTGAGTTTCCACGAAAATTTACTTTACTAGAAGAAGCAGTACTACTATCCTGCCTACCACCCTTTTCATTGGCTACAAAACCCTTTCCACCTGAATGATTTTGAGATTTAACATGATGCATTTTGTGAGTAAGGGCATAGCTATCAGCTAATGCAGCAGCTTTATGAACATTACTAATATCTCTCTCTCCTAAGTACAATTGTATATCTCTTGGAGTGGCTCTTTTGAACTGTTCTAAAATCATCAACTGAACAAGTTCCTCAAAATTTCTACCTTGCTAGACGTTATCCACCATCCACACATTTTACTCAATGAATAAACAAATTCTATATACGACTGTGCATCAGTCTTTCTCATAGTCCTAAATTTCACTCTATATGTTTCAGGAATGAGTTCATATGCCTTAAGAATTTCTTCTTTCACTAACTTATAACTACGACAAACTTCACTTGACAAAGACAGAAATGCTGAACGAGCTGACCCAGTGAACACACTTGGAATCATAGCACGACTCTTCAGGCCACTGAAAAGACTTTGCAATCTTCTCAAACTGCATGAAAAACTCTTGTGGATCCTCCTCGTCAAAAGCAGGCACAAGTCTCAAATGTTTTGTCACATCAAACAATTTTGTCTCAGATACTAAAGACAATGCCTGTAAGTCTGGTCTTCTACTGCTAACCTGTGCTAACGCTAATTCATGCTGTCTTTCACGCTCTCTTTCCCTTTCTTCTCTTTCCTTCAAAGCCAACTCATGCAACTTATCCTTTTCTCGTTCTAGCCTTCTATGCTCCATTTCTAACTTTCTTATCTCTACAGTTTCTCTGGGGTCAAATGAACGCAAAGTCAGTGCCCCCTTCGGTAGCACCTCTTCATTTACAAGCTCAGTTAATACTGCATTTTTAATTTCAGACTTTCTTTGACTACGTCGATACTCAATCTCATATGTATCGGCAAGTTTCATCCCATCATCCTTTCTTAACACACTGTCTTTTAACATTTCTACGGATGGATTTTCAACAAACCCCTCCACATCAAACGTAGCCATGTTTAAACAATAAAGATTCCCTATATTTAAAATTCTCAATAGATAACGAGTGAAAAGGGATCTATCCTGGCAAGGTCGCCAATTTTGTTACGACCCTTGGGCCTCTTAAGGGTGTGACAATATCACAAATTCACAAATTACACTTTGTAGTATAGGTCCAGGAATAGATCCCACCAAATTATCACCTCATTACTATGGGGTATATTGAAATACATGCAGTAGTTTTAATAACAGAATATATTAACAAATAAACAATAAAATAAATATATCAGTATGTACAAAAATAAACAAATACAAGTTAAATCTGATCAAATAAATGACTCAACCGATTGACAAAATAATGAACATAAAGTAAAAACTTATTTAGTATAGAAACTACCATGAACAACGTGGTCTATTCACCACACGAAACCTCATAAATAAGTAAGTTATTTTCCGTGTTACTCCAAAATATGATTAACAATAATCTTTCACAAATAATACTTTACTTGGTGTTATAAAACTCGAGCAAGGTTTACACTTTATACCACTAGAAACATACTATACAATAAGAAAGGAGATACTCTGTACTTAACTAAACACTGCCGGGCCCATACTAAATTAAACAAAGCGAGCGGACGCGGCAGTAATGACGTCACAAACAAAAGACGTTCACGTTGCGAATCTACAACCAACGATGGAACGCTCACTCGTAAAACCTTTAAAAATCTCTCCCACATCCAGAGTGTAAGATCAACCATCAGGGTTGTCGACCTCACACCAGGAATTGGTTAGATAAACCACATACACCCATAGTTGAAGAGATGAAGGTACCTAGTAGAAGAATGAGCACAGTTACTCGGTGGGCATACAGTAGTACCCTACTCACTAGCCCCATGGAAAGTCCTGTTTCCTAAAGCCATAAATATTTCAATTCACTCATGCTGCATCCAGGGGCAGGTTTCTCTCCAGTTGACTGTACGTGAGAGAGAGAGCAAGAGAGTTAATCCTGCCCATTTAGGTCAAATCACCGTACAACCAAGTGTACCTTACACCACTCAGAAGAGAGATCTAATTTCCCTCATTTTATGCAACTTTTCCCCAGATATTGCATACATTCCTTAGATGTGGTATTTCTGCGAGCTTCAACATGGGACCCGTGAATAGTCCCAGTCACTAGCATCTACGCCATAGTCCTGTTAAGCAGTCTACCACCACCACCAAATCGACTCCACTAAGACATGAAATAATCCATCCATTAACTACTGTGATTTCCCTTTCCTGTCCTATCTAAACAATATATGCATTTGAAATGCGCTTACTTGTGAGTACAGGTGACCTCACCTATATGTACAGTATTGTGACCACGTGGGGCGTTCTATCGGTGCAGAGGGTGGTTACACCTCCGCTTGCCGTAGATGAAAGACAGAAAGTGACTTGTGAGCGCCTTTGAGCACGCCTGCCACTCTATGGAGCTACTGTTTACAAATTAAAATATCCCCTGATTGTAATTTATTTCTTTTTAGGGAAAGACGAGCACTATTTTAAATTATTTACGTTTTTAATTTCAGATACGAACGTCCTCCAAGGTTTTCCAGTAATTATTTTGATAATTCTTGAAGCTTATGATGACATTCTTTTCATAATTTAATTATTTCCTAGGGACACATGTAACATATTTTGAAATGGAAAATTATCCAAGATAATTTTTGTTAATATAGCTGACACGTAACTTCATCACCAGTATATGAATTAATTTAATAAAATATATTTCGTAGGCCTCATGGAGGCAGCTCGACAGTTAGGTCCCGACTCCCCACTTGGTGCACTGCATTCAATAGCACGACTGCCCTACTTACGTTTTCCTGTTCATCAGATCAGTAATTTTCGTTCTAAATTTACAGAAGATTACAATGGACCCCCTTAAAAAAGACAGCACTGTCTTCGTGTGCTGAGAAAAAAAATGGGCATACAAATCCCCCAGATGAGTCCTGCTTTAATAATTACAAGTGATCGCAGGCCCACCGTGCCCTGTGAAAGTTTGAACGCTCGTGCTTGGCAAGAGTACAGCGAATGAGGGTGCTCCAAGTAGGTAGACTTACATGGTTAATTAGGGTGTGCCAAGTCCGTAGACTTGCATCATTTTCCATTGTAAATAAAATGGTTAATTAATGCCTTCCTAAAGAAAAAATCGACATGGGACCAGGTTTGTTCCACTCTATGAATTTTTTGGGATTTTTCCCCCAAATTTGATGAAAAACGATTGCACCGTTTCGGCTGCCCAGAACAGACACACAGGCAGACAGACACACACGGCAATTCCTATAGTATATGAGATAGATGATCGTAGTTGTTTTAATCATAGTCGTTTTCGTTATAATCATGGTCGTGGTTGTTATAATCATGGTCGTGGTTGTTATAATCATGGTCTTGGTTGTTATAATCATGGTCATGGTTGTTATAATTATGGTCGTGGTTGTTATAATGTCGTGGTTGTTATAATCATGATCGTGGTTGTTATAATCATGGTCGTGGTTGTTATAATCAGTCTCGTTTTCGTTATAATCATGGTTGTGGTTAGGATCATAGTCGTGGTTGATATAATCATGGTCGTGGTTGTTATAATCATGGTCGTGGTTGTTATAATCATGGTCGT